TACAATTTCTAATTACTAATTGTTAATTTGCTACTAACTAAATTAGTATGTGTTTCGCTACAATCATCAATGTTATTTATTTATATAATTATTTTTGTGTTCGCATTTATTATATGTAATTGTTTTTGCATTTAATTTATTGTACAAGTAAATATATTAATAGTTTTGAATTACATTTAATATTTAATATTCCGTTTGTATGTATGTATGTATATACGTAATGTATGTAACTACGCAGTGATTTTGTCACTAACCTAACAATTAGAGGGCTGCCCTTAGTACAGTGTGATTAACTACGCTAATTACGTTCATAATTTATTTGCAAAACATTCACATACATACCTACATATCTGTTAGTATGTATGTATGTGCATATGTATGTTGTTTAATACATCCGCACGTTATTTATGCAAACAACTTTGCTAGGCTTAAGTTAGTTTTACACACCATGTATGTATGTATGTATGCCGGTTTTTTTTTTACCTTTGCATTGCGAATCTTTCAAATTTTATGTTTATGTATTACATACTTTTAAAAGCTTATTCCCCATTTTTGTATGCTCACCTGCAAACTTTTTGTTTGAGCTACAAAAATTTCCATAAATCACTGATTTGGCCGAGTAACTCTCTGATTGTGGAGATATGATTCTACTATTAAAAAAAAAAAAAACAGCTTTTTTTTTGCGTCGCAACGCCGCAAGTGTATTGAATTTTCCTCTGCAATCCATTGTTTACGCGCAATAAAGTAGTTTTCCAAAATTTTTTAATTTTGTGTTTGGTTTCTGCAGTAAAAAAGAATGTGCATTTTATTCGCACCTCTAAAGTACGCAACGATTTTAACTACAAACAAATTTCAACTACATATTTTCGTGCGTAATTTTCTTTTAAAGCCTTTTTGATGTGAGTTTTATTTGTTGTTGGCATTTTTTTTTGCGCTTAATGTACGTACTTCTTTCTACATTTAAATATCTAAATAGTATGTACACCACACACAAAAGGAACAATTTATTTATTTTGAACACTGATTGTGAGTGAGCCTGTTTCAAATTTTCATTAGCAGCTTAGAGACTAAATACATATGTGTATAACATTTAAAGTTCTACTGTGCGTATGTATTTATGTATGTATGTATCTAAGTTTGTATGTATTCGGTTGACACTTAAACGCTTCAAAAGACGCAAGTTCTATACTCCACTTACACCTCGATCACACTTACTGTATATAGGAAAAAGTCAAGTGTAACTAAGTTTTTGTGCTTTTCGTATACGAATTTTTAAATACTTTTTTCACGTGCTCGCTTTTTGTATGAGAAGTGCACATTATGTTTTAACATTTTAATTCCATGGGCATTAGTAAGCCTCAATTTTCAAAAAAAAAATCGCTGGCGATCTCGCTTGGCAGAAGTGATAGGCAAACATTCAAATAATGACATAGAAGATGGTGTGCTTTGAGCATTTTTCTGGAATAATAGCAACGAAAGCTAAACTTTTGGACATTATTGTACAGTAGAAACGAGCGTTTTATAGCGGATGTTGTAAAAGCCTACAAATTCCTTGAACAATTTATTAATTATAAGTGCTTTTGAATATTGTTTGAATTTTTCGAAACTTTAACAGTGTGTTTCCACTATCCTCAAATTACGCAATTTCGATTCTGAACGAATATTTTTTTGTTTTTGTTCTAAACTACATATTTCTTTTGTTCTGTTTATCTGTCATAAATTCTACTTTCAATTTTACACAAACTAAGATACGTATCGCGATTGCAGTGGAAATTGAGTAAATGTAGTGTCCGAGTTGCGTAATTTGGCGTGTGTGAAAACACTTCATAACATTTTCAGCTGTCTCTCATCATATTTGTTATTTTCCACTTTTTATGCTTTCTAGGACAAGACAAAAATTTATTTGTGGTTAATATTGAATTGCAAATTTGTATGTATGCGCATGTACATATGTTTGCGCAAGTTTGTATGTAAATACATAGCTTTGTATAGGTGGATTAAGAAACATTAAATTATTTATGAATATGTATTTAAATTAGCAACTGTTTGAAGCACTTTATTCTATGGCACATTTAAGTTCATACTTTTCTTATGTTTGCAGTATGTATGTATGTGGATATTTATGCATTCTATGTTCTGTATATTAAAGTTCGCTAAGTCTGTAGTTACATACACAAGTATGTAAGCATAAATGTTCGTATATAAAAAGTGAAACGTTTTATTTGAGTGTGTCTATTTTATGGTTGCGCATTTAGTTAAAAAAAAAGTAGTACCACGGAGTGTATGCCAAAGGCCGTTAAAGCATTCGAATCATTGATAAAATTAAAGCTTTTCTACTTAGTAAATTTTCCAAATGGAGTGAACTATTTTCAGTTAGTCAAAAAGAAAATGTTTGATCAAAAATTTTGTAAAAAAAAATACTTAAAATCCGAATAGTTAAAAATTATAACTTTTCTACTTAGTCAATTTTCCAAATGGAGTGAATTATTTTCAGTTGGTCAAAAAGAAAATGTTTGATCAAAAATATGATTAAAAAAAAAATACTTAAAAAACGAATAGTTAAAGCATACAAATTTTCAAAGCCTTAACATTTTTTTAATGTATTTCACATAATTTATGTCGAATCGGTTTTTTTTTTTAATCGAAGAAGTACAACTTTGTCATTTTGCTCACATAATTTGCAAGAACGTTCACGTACACGTATTCCATTAGCGACACACACATACGTATATGAATATTAGCAGAGGCATCCTGTAGGATCTTACTTTTTTTAACTCCTCTTTCATGACAAATTCTTGGGAAACTATTTTATACAAGAAAACATAAACATTGCCCTTTTGAAATATTTTGCAAATTTAAATTTGTTCAAACTACTTATTGCGGCTATATTGACTAAGGTAGCTACAAAATTCATAATCAGTTACATTATCTATTCAATTTAATTTATTTTTTTTTTCAAAAACAGCGCTCACTTTCTGTGTATTTTCACTTGTTTTGGCCTCTTTAAGGGGTTTTTTAGTAGCTACGCTGGCTACGCATATCAATAACTTCAGTTTTTTTCACATATAAAACAATTCATTCCTGGGCTGGAGTTTATTAGCGAGTGCGTGCTTGTGCGCCTAAAATTATGCCTCCCACACTTTGTTTCTGAGTGGTAAATCAGTTCTCAACTGATTAAATTCATGCAATGCATTGCATTCTCCATTTCTCTCTCTCTCTCTCTCGCTCTCTACTAGCTCTATACATAAACATACATATAACATATTTATTGTTTTACATAAATGTCTGTATATATTTATATGTAAGTTTGTATATCCTACGTAGCGTATGTTCGCAATAAATCTGTACGCACCTATACTAGTATACAATATTGTTAAACAGAGTTGCACTCTCCACATTCAATTTTTATGTACTCGCTTGCATATCAACATACATATTTACATGCAAGTATGTATACATTACATATAGCGCGTATACCTAAACTAAATAGTTAATTAAATTTTTTAGTTTTTTGTGTGTTTCCTTTGTCCGGCGTCGTCGTTCATACATACATATACATATATATAAATTAATTATACATAGTATTCCTAAAGTGAAACAAATTTAGTTTGTTTGCATTCCCCATCATCCACATTTATTGCTGGCGAGCTGCGCTGTGTGCGTTGCGTTGCGTTGCATTGTTGGCGTTTAGCTTCTGCTTCGCAAAAGGGCTGTGAATGTGACTAGTACTGCGGCGCCGGCCAGCAGTGTGCTCAGGCGGCTGGGACATGCGGCGGTGAGCGGCGTCGCCGCGGATTCTTGACGCGGCTCGATTTCATTGTTAGTGATCTCGGTTGGACCCAACGGATCGAATGGCGATGAGGTGGCACCTGTAAAGCGAATTGAAAATGAAATGAAATAATTGAAAATGCATTTTAGTTTTGAATATGTATGTATGTATGTATGTATGTATGTTTGTGTCCTACCATCGCCAGATCCATCGCCTGAGCCATTCTGGTTGCCGTATTCCTCGTCATCCATGTCGTCGGGCATGTGGCCGCCGGAGCCCTCCTCATCATGGCGCGCCATATCGCTCTGTATGTCAGAGTATGAACGCGTGGTGGATGGTATCTAAGTGGGAAAATAACGACGATTATGAATACGTACATATGTATTATTTTTCGTATTTTTGGCGCTCGCTCGACTTACCGCCGTTCCGATGTTCTTGCGCACCTTGATCAACTTGTCCATCAGTTCATTCAATTTCGTCGATTGCGAGCTTGGCACCAGCGGCACCTCGGGATTGTACCGTTGTGTGTCTACACCTTGGGTCATAACTAGTTGGGTGTAGTCGCCAACACGATCGCCTGTCCAACAGTTGTGATCATTTCGTTGGATGTCATCGTCTTCGCACACACTGTGCAAGCATAGCAAAGTGGAAAATAGAGAATAGAAGAAAAAAAAAATGAATGAAAGATTTGATTGTCATTGGGTTTCGGTTTCTATTTCATTTAATTTTCTATTATTTAAATCTAGAAAATATCGATTTTAATTGTTGTGTCGTCGAAATTCTGTAAGAATAACAAAATCCTAAAGCCCAAATGTTAACATCTTTTGTTCGTGGCACCCGCGATACCATACATGCCGTCTTTCGGCCCAAACCAGCGCCGCCCATGAAAGTGGTAAGTTTTTAAATATGTACATACATACATATGTATGTACATACGTCTCCTATATTTAATTCAAAACTATGATCTTTTTAAAAAATCCGCACTTCAATCCTTTCCCTGATTTCACCAATCAACCATCATCGCATCATCGGTCGTTCGTTGGTTCGATGACCCGCTACAGTCATGCATGTCCATGTCCAACAAGGAGATGATCTGTGACGTTATATTTTTCAGCGCAGCTATTTTAGCGCCTCTCTACTATACAGTGTTGCGCGATCTTCTGCGCAAGATTCGGAATGTAAATTACAAAATAGTACGTGTAAAAAATTAACGGTAATAAAAATATTACAGTAATGTTTTAGTACAAAAAATTAAGATCTCTGTGTTTCATTTATTAACCGAGTTCAAAAAAAGGAGAAGGTTATCAGTTCATCGGAATACATATCTACATATTTTTTTTTATGTATGTTACCGCGTTACTTTGAACCACGTTAACCGATTACGATAATTCTTCTATCGTGTCTCACAGGTGGTCCCACACTAATTTGGTTTAGATCCGATCATTGGATCATGAAAAAATTAACGGTACTCTTAAATTTGTATATGAGAATTGTAGTCGGTTGTGTTTTCTTTTGCTTAAAAATTACTTGTTATACAATTGTTTACAATTCTTGTGCAAGTACTCACTTGTTGACGATGTTCGAGTAGAATTCCTTGGATTTGTCTATGGTTGATTGGAAGTGCAGAATTTCCGCATCCGGTGGGGTTGCCCATTTAATGTTGTGCGGCTGCAGAGGGCGTAGATCATTTTCTGCTGTTAGTGAGGGCAAAAGTTTTGGCGTGCCACATGTTTTCTTGACCTGCGAGATGAAAAGAAAAAAAAAAATTGTAAATAATTGGAATAGTGATCAAATTGGAGAATGGCTTAAGTATGGTTAGATTGGGCTAGTTTATGTTAGATATGTAGGGGCTCCGCAAGATAAATAAACCATGCTTAATGAGCAATTGTAGAAAGTGTAACTGGGAATGTCTGCTTGAAAGTTCCTCTGGCATGCAATTTCACCGCATCCCACCTAAACCAACTTCCATAGAAAGAACTTGAGACCATGTAGAGCATAACCATCATTCTGCATTCCAAATAAGATCCCTAGTCTCCGCTGGAGCTAAACTCGGTGTAGATTTTTCGATTAAAGAGGAAATGCATTTATCGAACTTTGACCCTTTGGCCTTCAGACTAGAGATGGGCCCGGGACTAAATATTCAATACCGATCACACCTATCCCGATATTGAATTTTTCGGTTTTGAAGAAGTTTTTTAGATTTGTACGTCGCGTCCCCTGGGCTCCAACAACTATCACTAAAAAATTCACACGTCTTTCTCTTTCTCGAATATTCCGCTTTCGTCATACTGAAATATCTGACATCTTCTGGTTATTGTATTTTGCTTGCCGGTCATTTTTGCCTCGGCATAATTTTAAACGGTGCTAGTTTCATATAGCGTTTTATCAGGGGCCTATTTCATAAAAGTGACAGGTGCGACAATTGTCGACTTTTCTATAAAATTTCACTGCCAGAATTGTTGGCGACATTTTTCACATTTCATATACGTTTGTAGGCAATATTGTCGACAATTGTGCTGACAATTGTCACTCTAACAAAATTGTCGTGACAATGGCGACAAAACCAAAACCAAATATGGTAATTGCGCGCATTCCATTACTTTTCAATAATTAGAATATTTCTTAAAACTAAAATAATGCAAATGCAAGTATTACATATGATTTACATATAAATTTCATATGACTGGCGACAATTTTGTCAACGACAATTTTAAAACCCGACAATGACAATTTGTCACATTTTCAATGGAATTTCACATGGAATTGAAGAGGTGGTGACAATTGTTTTTATGAAACAAGACACCCACCCCACCAAACTGTCGAATTGTCACTGACAACATGCAAAATGCCTGTCATTACAAAATTATCATTGTCGCTTTTAATGAAATAGGCCCCAGGAGTGTCGATACCGTCCATCCCGGCCATTTTAAAATTAGTACGTGGGTCCCGCGGGTCCCGATATCCCGTGACTATTACTACTTCAAAGCAAATAGTGTAGTTTTTTTTTACGGTCTGGTTGGTTTAGCTTAGTGGGACCAACCAAAAAACAAGGACATACGAACTTTTTTCTTAATTGATATGATTATCGACATAATAAACTTTCCGCTTTTTCAAGCGGATAACCTTTCCTTGTGGGGTTGCCCCAAACATATGGTACTATATCTCAAAGACCGAAAAATTTCAGCTAAAGACATTGAAGTAAAAATGTGAGAGCTTCCACATCCGAATGCCGGTATTCCACGCTTAGTTTGAGAAATTTTCAACGCAGTCAAAGAAGAACAATGTTCAAAAGTTATTAACTTGGAGGCTCCACAGACGTTTCGCAGTTTCGTATGTCACACACGCAGGCATTTTTTTGAGTACACAGTTCCCACATCTAATGCGGTATCTTTGTAATGAAAATGTCCAAGTTGCAGCATGGTCATGCCACACACAGACAATTAAATTCTAATAAACATGAATATGTACATGCAGTGGTGGCATTGTGGCATTCGGACGCAGTCAACAGATCATGGACGACTAACTGTTCGCATCGAAGTATCCCACAGTTTTTCGATGGCTCATTGATGCATGCATAAGCACATATGTATGTATTTATGTAGGTACACTCGTGCGACATATGTACATACATGCACATACGGTCATTGTTAAGCGTCCATATATGTATGTATATCAGTGGACACACCACCAACACTATCAAGTGGAAAATATTTGAAAATTCTGGCTTTGAGGGCTGGTGCGGCTATGCAGTCGCAGTGATTGCTGTAGTTTGGTGTAATTTACGAAAATGTAAACATTGGCCAGGTAATAACGATGTGTGGTGCATAATAATGAATGGGCGGGCACCTAAGCTTTTGTTTGTTGGGATGTATGTATGTATGTATGTATGTACGTGGAGTTGTGTATATATACCCAGTACGGAAAGAAAATTGTTTAAATATTGATGTTCCACCAGTTTTTTACCCACCACAACTAATTGAAGATCTGACTTTCTTCCTTGGAACGAACCGTTTACTTTGACATGGCGAAGTCCTAGGAAGTAGTCAATTATCCGACTCGGCATTTGATTTCAACTACTTTAAAATGCATTTGGCTTAAAGAACTTCAAAGTCAGTATGTTTCTTTTGCAGATGTCTTTTCAACCAATTTAAAATTACTTAGTATTAAATGCTGAAATAGTTAATTGCCCAAAGTTAGATGATTTTTCAATTAATTTTGAATTATGTATTTGCAAAGTTATCAAAAGTGTAAGCATTTCGTTTATCTCAATGAGGCTGATAACCAGAAATAAATTACTTTTTCTGAGGTAATTGGTTGAGTTATGCCATACTGGGTATTAAAAGCACACTTGGAGGTATATACATACATACATATCTATGTAGATTCATAAGTTGTCCTGTTACTTTCCTTTGGATTGACTGCTTCTAAATACATATGTATAAAATACCTACGTTTGTACATGAATATGTGTAGTGTACACATTCAATAGACAGAGTGAATAATGGACTAGTCTACGAATCCAACGGGCAAAACGCATCTACCAGGGTTCCTAGAACTTTTAAGTCAGCTACGGTAAAATACAATATTTAGACGGAGACGGAACAATGCGAATCTATAGGGGAAATATATATTTTCGATTCTTTTGCATTCAGCAGACATCTGAATGGTTTTGCAATAAGGGCGGTGAGATGTTGAAATGTAATGGAATTTAAAGAAGCTGTGTGTGAGGTATCACAACGAAAATCTTTTTGTATTTGAAAGGCACACGAGTGCCATTATGTATAGAACCCAAGTTCGCTTAAATGTCTGTCACGGCTTCTTATGGTGGCACGGCAGAGCATATGCCATGGCCTGGATTATGACAGCTTTAAGCCTGTGATTTGGCATTAGTGAGTACAAAATAAATTATAGGTTAGACAGACACCATGAAAACGGACATCGCCGTGAGAGGTCGCCGCAATGTAACCGTGGCCACGATGCAGGGACATAAATAAGGCGCCTTCCGCGGACAGCATCCACCCTTTCGCTGACGTCACATTATTATTTTTTTGCACTAGTGATGAATATTAAATTTTCATATTGTAACTATTTGCCGAAAAGTTGTACCTAAAAGTAGATACGCGTACCTAAAAAGTAAACATGTATTTTTATGTGCATAGATTTTTAATAGTTAGTAGACTACATCTTCCTTCTGTCCCATATAAACTTTAGGACTTACATAAATCAATATTTGACTACGTTCCAAATGTACCTAAAATAATAGCTTTTATTTAACTTCAGAGTATTCTGAATTATAAAGAAATTTTACACACTTCGATTCTTTTATGAAATTTCTGAAGAAAATCGGTAAAGAAATCAAAATAATGCTGCTATGTGAATAATTTCTTGCAGAATTTTTCCAGAATTTTCTTTATTTTTCGTACGAAAATTTCTTTACGAGTTCGTGTCAACAACTTCATATAGTTTTCTTCGTAAAAAATCGTTACGAAAATGAGATACTCCTAAATATTTCGTCAAGATTTCGGGAACTTTGGTTTGCAGGGTAATAACAAAACAAATCAAAAATTCTTTATTTTTTACACTTCGCGGCACGTTCTTAAATTATTGGTAATGTGAATGAAAGAATTTTCAAATGAAAACTTTACGATATGAAGAATAGTAAAGAATAGACAAACAAATACAAATTCTGCCTGAAAAAGTATTTAGAACAAAAAAACAAAATACTATTGTTAAATGGATTTGCATTTTAAATACTTTAAATCTCTGAAAGTAAGTGCCAACCACCACACTTTAATCTTTGCGATTTGAAGCTGAGAAAATCAACACAACCACAAAAAAATGCGAGGAAAAGGATGAAAGTGATGGTATTTGGTGTAAACATTCAGAGCAACCAGATAAATTCCTGTCCATAATCCAGAATATCTTGACATGAAGAAGACCATCAAATACATAAAGAGCATAAAAGAAATTCGTAAAAAATGTTACAGTTTTGCATTCTGCAATAGCACTGTGCAATCGCTTTCTATAGATAACTGCCACTGTACTTACGTATGTATGTATGTCGGCCTTTATGCATACATATTTTTTGAATGTGGATTTATTCTGCATTTCGCAAATACAATCATCAAAGCATATTTACTAAGTAAAACTATTTTATTAAGTATTCTCAAGTAAATGCAAACACTACCTACTTCATCCCATCAGCACTTATGGATTGTATGTACATACATGTGCCATACCAAAGTACTCAAGTTTATGATTAAGAGCACACTTTCCGGCATTACAACGATGGCGCACAATGAAAATTATAAATTTAATTCAAACTTGACATTCAGACAATGAAAAACAAACAAAATAAAAATGAAAACAACATCAACAACAATACAATCTATCTACTCAACACGTAAAGTGTACTTAAATGCTTATAAGCACAGGAAGCGATGTGGCTCGCTGCTGCTCATGCAACTTACGAGTTTATAAATTGAATGCATTTTCAGTGCAACGTGCCACAAGCTTTAGGCTGTCTGCAATGCTGCATAGTTATAGTAGTTAGGCCGATTGTATATGTATGTGTGCTACTGCCGCACTGATTATAATCTCGATTTTATTTAACGAATTTGCATTGTTTTTATAGACATACAGATATCCGAAGGTGGACTTTATTTACACATTTTCCAATGTACTTGAACTTATTCGATGATAGTAGCATTCGTTGTGTGCTTAAGAATTTAAAACCATCGACGATATATTAACCTGGCTGAGAGTAGTGTACAAAGCAGTACTGCTACATGCGTGCATTTTCCAATGTCGGGCAAAGTTATACTCAAATATTTTTAAATTTATACCTCCGAATAGTGTCAAAAGTGCATCAAAGATTTGTTGGCTCAAAAAAAAAAAATAAAAATACGACCATCTAAGCACACCCTAATGCACATATGAGCATTTGTACATTTGCATTGAAAAACAAAGCGACAACTGAAAAAACTGACGCCCATTTAAAACTCATCATTCCACAGGCCCACCCACTGCTACCCATTTTAATAAATAAAAATACAACTGAGTCATATTTTTTTTTTTGTAAACCAAACTGTTAAACATGCAAACAGTTTAATCGTTTGAAGAAAAGTGCACAGTTAGGTGCAATTATTTTCAATTACCTACAACAGAACATCATACAGGTAACGAAAACCAGCGATTCTATTGAGCTTCCTCTCACCCACCTTACTCTCGGCTATGCCACTCTCCTGCGGCAGCAACTTATGCACGTCAACAGCTTTGTTCGGCATCGAAAAGTAGTGGCATCACGTTGGCGTATTAACTAGTTCACATTTTTGCTGTATGATGCATACATTTTGTGGTGTTTTACTTGCAACATTCGCACCCAACCCGAATTGCTAGCGGTCAAATAAATGTGCACTAATCAATCATCGTCGAGGCACTTTCATAATTTATCAAAGTGGCAATAAAATCGCAAGCAGCAGGCGCTTCAGCAGAGGAGGCTAACGGAAAAATATGTATGTATGTGAACATTCTTATGCACACCAAAAATCTTTGCTACCCCGCTACTGGGCAGCTTAATTTATTTCCTTATCTGCGGTGAAAACTAAAACAATTAGAATGATTTTTATTATAAGTGGAGCAGCGGCACATAAATGGAATGCGGTGAAGAGCGCGGTGCAACAATTTGTTTTCTCGTTTTAGTTTTTAAGTTAAATAACAAAAGATTGATTAGAAGATAGATGCCCATGAGTCTGTTATGGAGCCGCTTGAGCTTTAAATCAGCGATGGGCAGAGAGAGCTTTTACTCAGCACGCGCCTATACAAAATGTATCAAAAGCTTAAAAGAGCTTTGCCCGCGGGCAAGGCTGCGCCCATAACCGCTTTAAATAAATAATAAGGAATATGCAATTTTTTCTCACTTCAAAAACGATTTCTCGTAAGTCTGCGAAAGATAGAACTTTCCATAATACATAGTTTAAAAATATCACTCGTTTGCTGAAAGAACGTCATAATCCAAAGAACAATTTGGTATGCAATTTTATAGCCCACACAATTTTTGTCTAACGAAGTGCAAGTTTCAAACGGCTAAAAAATCGCGTTGATTTTTCAGATTTTTTTTTTTGAGACTACTTTTTCGGTTATATAAAAAGTGCACTTTACAAAAACTGACGTTGATTTTTTGAAAACTGCATACCCGCAAATATTCTAAAGATTCAGATTAAAAAGTTTAAATTTTGATGAAAATTTGTTGAATTCCCCCGAATTTTGTATAAAGTTTGAAACTATGATTTATATGGTTTTGGTTAAAGCTGGGACGGTATTTCTTTGCAAAAATTACAAAAAAATTAGCTCGAAAAACATTGCGAATATTAAAAAAAAAATCGACACGTGGTCATTTGTTTGGGTCACTGTATATATTTAGAATGCAAGGCCAGCTTCCGTATGGGCTCAAATAATTAAATAGATCTTATTTACATTTACAAGCATTGACTATTCCAACAGTGTTCATTCTCTCCATTCGATTCCTCTGTAGCCGTTAATGCCTTTCGATTTTTAAGGGGAAAATACTTGCACCGAAAAATCAACAATCGAAAGGCAGAGATAAAAGCTGGAACATTTGCTCCACTTCGATCTTTGCAATTGGGCAAGGGTAAGGCAAAAATTTGCAAAGAAAAAATCAAAAAACAAAATTAAATGGCAGCGAGTTTTTTCCGCCATTACCTTTACTTTCAACTGCATTGGGAAATAAAAATATTGGCAAAGCTGGCGATTTAATTAAAGCAAGAACCGGCGACAATTCGATGACCTACCGGTGCAGCCTTCGAAGGTAGGGAAAGCATCAATCAATGGCGGATTAGGGTGACACAACAAATCTGCTGAAAATAAAAACTATTTTCTTGATTTTTTTAAAGAAAAATTATCTGTATAAAAAACCGTAAAAGCTTATTTTGACTGCTTTAACATTTGCTAAACAATTTACTATTAAAATTGTCATAAAAGCTGCTATAAAGTTTCCTTTAAAAATGCTAAAAAAAATTCCTGCAAAAGCAATTTTTAAACAAAAATTACTTATTTAAAAAAACAACAATGTATTTTGAACGTTTTAAAATAGGCTATAAAATTCACTTTTTATGTTGCCTTAAAATTTTCTACAAAAGTTGGCATAATAGTCGCTAAAAAGTTTGTATAAAAATACCAAAAGATCCCCTGCAAAGTAGAGAAATTCAGTGCTTAGTATTTAAGCAGGAAAAACATTTATAGTTGTAGGCGAAAATAAATTGGATTAATATTGGCCCACTCTAATGTTGAGCCCTCAAACTTTGTGACAATGTATTCACACATTCAAGTACAAGGGGAACAAGGAATCGTAGTAATTAAAATGTAGCAGTAAATATTTTATTCGTGTAGGTTAACGGCGTCAAAATGTGGTAGTATTTAACAGTAAAGAATACGTAGATATCTTTGTTGCAAGAAAAAAGGGGTTTAACTGGTCAGCAAAATTTCCAGACTTGATGGGAACATTGTTCGGATTTAATTCCAGAGATCAATGACATCAACAACAAATACTCAATACCGAGTGTATCTCCAACTTACCTTCATTTCTAGGTTAGGTCCATTTTCCATAGCCCGCATAATGGTTTCGGACAACTTTATATCCAGCTGCTTGATTGTTGTTACAATGCCACTGTCCGATCGTATGTGCGTCGTCACTAAATTTTGTATAGCATCCACCACATTCGACCAAGGGCTATCCAATACGCCAGCGTATTGAGCCGAGCAGCCACTGTGAAGAGGCAGAGAGAGAGAGAGAGAGAAAAAAAAAAACAATAATAATAATACATAAAAAAATCCTTGAAAATTTCAATCATTTCGCGCTTCCGCCAATCCAATCTAAATGCTCGCACTTACCGCAGCACATTCATGCAGTAGCTGTAGCACGCTTTCACTTGTGTCTTCTGATATCCATTACAGCTCGGACAGTAGCTCATCTTGAGCAAATGCTTCTGACAGTTGTCGGTCAGATACATGGCATACAATTCATCAGTCTCACTAAGCACTTCAGCGCTCTGTTGCAGTGAATTCAAGAAGATGCTCGCCGTTTGTACGCTTTGAAGCAAATTGCGTTTGATCTCCTTGGGTATGCTGCCGAATGGTTGCAGATCGTCGAATGTGTGCTTCAAGCAATTGATATAATCCTCATGTAATTCGCCATAATTATCCTTGCTCAAGTGCACCGCCTGATGATAGGCGACCGGAAAGAGATTCACAAAGAATTTCTGTATGGCATCTTCTAGATTGCTCAGGTTGTTGCCGCTGCCGCTGCTGCTGCTGCTGCTGCTGCTGCCGGTGTTCATACCATTACTATTCGCATTCCTCAAGTGGCTTCAAGTAAGGAAAAAGAAAACGTTGGAAAAGCATTAAATAACGATTTGATAAGAAAAGCAGATGGAATGAGTCAAAGTGGTTGGACTGGAAGTTTTATGTTGTTGACTTACTTCATGATCTCCGAATAGAGCTGACGTATCAATTCGCTGGACTGAGGCACCATGCGTCGGTATACTTGGGAAAATACCGCCAAGGTCTTATTCTCAGACTGCTCCGCTAGTTCAAGGACATGACCTGGAAAAGAAAAAATTAAAATTAATTATAACGAGTTTAGGAAACAAATCTTTGTGTTTTTTGCGCTTATGTTGAAAACTGGACTTTATTCTAAGTAAATAGGTA